ACTTTGATCTGATTTAGGTGAAATTTTCATGTTGTGGTCCGCACGTGCTACGACGGCACGTGACCCGGCCGCAGCACGCCCCGAGTTGTGTGGAGTACGAGGTCCCGCCCAACGCTGCTTGCAGCTTTAATAATTTGAGCAGCTTTGACTAAATAAAATAATAAAATTGAAAAAGAGTTAGTAGGCCATGGAGAGTTCAATCCAAATAAACTTTAATGATACTGATTTAATGATTAATGATAGTGGCAAATACACTTCATGGACGTGTGGGCATAGATGTGTGTGCGATTCTAAAATAAACAAAAGACATAAACAATACAGTATTCAATATACATAGTTTCATACATTATTAACCTAATAATATTATTCTTTAATGATCAAATAAAATAGACCTATTGAATTAAACTAAAGCATTCTTTACATGAAAGTAAACAGTTTTGTCTATGTTACAGTCACTGATAATTCACTGCAACTCAGTTGCTGATCTGAATGAATTATTCTGTGGTCAACTGAGACCTCTTAGCCAACTAGTAACTAATAACTGCAGTACTAAAAACGGCCACATGGCAAAACACCACGGATGTTATAAGGACATGTACTTAATGCAACAGAAAACAGTAGACTTTTCTACAGCTACACTAAATGGAACCTCAATTAATATAATTGGTAACACCTGCCTCGTTGCTAGGCAACACAGTGAGTCTGTGAACCGGAAGTCCACCACAGTCTGCTCTAGGTTCAACTTCTAATAATATGAGCTGTTCACCCAGTCTCTCTGTCCTACTATAAGCAGCCCGCTGGTCTGTCCCATTGTACTGCTGAACGAGGCTCTGCATTTACAACTGTAAGGGAGTGTCAAAAACAGTAGGCCCCACACCCTCACTGAAGGTAAAAGTTCCTCAGCAAATACAGAAATCACCGCTGGAGGATCCACCATGAGCATTTTAGCATTTAGCCAGACCCAGCATGCACCTGTTGGTCATGCAACATTAAGGGTATGTTTGATTTGGATCAGTTAGCATGCTTGCTGGGTGGCACTTTAAATCAGTGATTTATTAGGGTAGGTGCTGATGCTGTTTTCTATGGTAAGGTATAATAATGCTAACCATAACCAAAAATGACTTCATCGTTAATTTTGCGTTATTGTGCATTGTGCGTGTGTTCTTTAGAAACTGCAAGTCCCAGCTCCGGTGCATACATACCCCCCACCCCCACCCCTGTGGCCAGTAAATATAAACATGTAGAACATGTATCTGTTGAATATCAGTTGAGTGCAGAGTGCCACTTCTCTGGACACTGAGGTCCCTGGAGGTTTGCCCCTCTGGGGCTGCAGACACATCAGCAGCTTTTTCTCTGCTACAGCTGCTCATTTGGCTCCTTTTCTTCTGTTCCATTCTCGCACAGCTTGTGTTAAGAAGTTCCAAGTAAATTTAAAGAATTTTAAAAAAGTACAAAAAAAGAAGACAGTTTTACATCATCATAATTTCATTACTTTGACCTCTGTACACAAGTCACATAATATCCTAATAAAAAGTCTTCCTGGATCACTGTTTAGATGCTATGGAAGGCATATTACATTGGTGTATCAGTTCATTTGTGTGCATGTAAGCTATATGTGTGTGGATCCATTTTTATTTATGTGCGTCATGTTTATTGTAGCTGATGGCTCCTGACAAGGTTCTGATCCAAGAGCGCTACCTGGATGTGGAGGATAACACTCCTCTGAGCCCCGAGGAACAGAAGGAGAAGCAGAAGAAACTGGAAAGGATCAAAACCCTCATTGCCAAATCAAAGTCTGTTTTGAATCACACATAGCTTTATTAGTCAGTCTATGCTCTTCACACGTTTCAAAAATATTATGAACCCATACCTATTGGTCTAATTTGATTGGTTTTGTCTCACTGGTCAGTTTGCAGAACATGGTTCCTCTCCTGGATGGCCCAGTGGAGGGCGGAGTCCCAGTCAGTTCCCAGCAGCAGCTGCAGGAGCAGGAGAAGCGTATTGAGATCTCCTGTGCTTTGGCTGCTGAGGCTTCTCGTCGCAGCCGCCTTCTCTCCGGTGAGTACTCTCTCAGTGCAGATGCCACCGACACCATCACAGCGTCACTAACCTTCTCTCACTAACTGCGCTCTATGATCACACAAGACAGGACAAGCACAGTTCTTACTCTCAACACTACCTCATCACACATACATCCATGATTCACCTAAATCATATGTGAAATCACTGATCTTGGTGTGTCGTTTAAGATACAACTTTTGCCAAGGTTGTGTAAACTAAAATGTAACCCGCAAGGATGTCTATACAGACAAAAACGTATTAACATCCATTTCGAATACAGCTTTATTATTTTTAGAAAATATAAAGCTGAAAGTCTTTTAAAGGTAATTTCTTGGCCATTATTCTTGTTGGTTATGATAACATTTTACTTGACTTTGCTGAGATCTGGGCATTCAGGATCTATTTAGTCTTCTTTAGTACAATAATATGAACAGTGAGATGAGCAGACAGCTTCAGCCCGTGGTTGCAATAATTATCAACTGACTTCTTCAACAAAACATTGTGATCATTTTTTTTTACTTTGCTGTAAACTGATATGCTAGTTGCTCTATTGTTGTGTTTCTGACAAAGTGGCTGCTTAGGGAGAGTTTGCTGTAGTTTTAAGCCGCACTTGCTGTTAATACCAGTAGCCAGTGGTGTCACCAAATTAACCAGGCCTGGAACCTTAAATATTACAACTTTAAAGTTGGCCATGGTCTCCATTCTAGGCTACTGTGGCTGGCCCCAGTAGCCTAGAATGGACAAAC